GGGGGGGCCCCCCCCCCCCCCCGTCGAGTGAATGAATTTTGTGCACTGGGCCTCTAGTTTATTATATAATCCTGAAGCTTTTACTTTCATTAAAGAGAGTTAGCTCTGTTTCAACTTTGCCCATATCACATTTTTGTTGTTGTTACTGTTTCCACTATTCCCTGGTCAGAAACCAGGGAAGATAAACATATCCATTCAGTTTTCTTCTCTCCAGATTTGTTATTAGTGAGAATTTTCAGGATTTTGCTTGTATAAAGTTACATACTAAGCTTATAGTTAGGATTTGTCCTCAGGTATCTCTGACTCCCAAACTTATCGTCATACTCAGTAAGTGCTTGTAGACTGAATGCTTATGTTCTTTTCCAGGCAAATTTGCCTTCATTAAGTAATTTTACCATATATTTGCTTACAGATAACATTCTTGTTTTTTTCTTTCTTTCTAGCAATGGGATTTGACCGATATAAAATGGTGGTGCAAGTAGTTATTGGAGAACAAAGAGGTGAAGGAGTATTGTGAGTAATTGGTTTTTCCTTATTTTTTAAAAATATTTTTATTTATTTCAGAGAGGAAGAGAGAGATAGAAACATCAATGATGAGAGGGAATCATTGATTGGCTGCCTCCTGCACGTTGGGCTGAGCCTGCAGCCCTGGCATGTGCCCTTGACTGGAATTGAACCTGGGACTCTTATGTTCACAGGCCGAGGCTCTATCCACTGAGCCAAACCAGCTAGGGCATTGTTTTTCCTTCTTGATTCCATTCTTATGTTTCTTATGAGGTATTCATCCTCTTCACAATTCAGTATGATTGTTTTGCAAGTGAGAGTAAAGGACAGTATAACAAAATGCAGCTGTGAACCCAAGAGATCCTGGTTCTGAACAGTGAGGTTGACAGTTTGGGTGAGCTTCATTAGGTAATTCACTTTCATAGTATCTGTAGGCTGATAAGTGTTTTAGGGTTTATGTATATACCAGAGGCCCGGTGCACGAATTTGTGCATGGGTGGGGTCTGGCCAGCCCACCCCAATCGGGGCCGATCAGGGCCGGCTGGTTGGGGGGAAGGTCTGTGGGAGGTTGGCCCACCCCCATTGGGCCGGTTGGCAGCCTCAGTGCATGTCATAGTGACCAGTCATTTTGGTCGTTCTGGTGGTCCTGTCACTTAGCTTTTATATATATAAATGTTCCCAAAGAAAGTATGAGACCATATATATATATATATTTCCTCCCATAGTCCTTATTTCCCAATTTTTGGTCCTACCATTATCCAAAATAAATTTCTTTAAAATTGTCTGAGACCTCCTTATTAGCAAATCTAAAAGCTCTTTCTTAGCTCTTGTGTTTGCCTGGGCTTCTGTTTCTGAAAATTCACTCTGGTTTTATTGGCCTTGATGTCACTTGTCTAACTTGTTTCTCTCCTGTTTTTCTAACTGATTATTCTCTTTTCTTCACTGGTTCCTCTTTATTCCCTCTATCCCCAGCTATGAGCTTTCTTCAAGGCTCAGTTCTTATTCTTCTGCTCTTCTATATGCTTTCTCAATGAGCTCATTCATTCTCATGACCTCAAACTGTCATTTCTGTATGGGTGATTTCAAAATATGTATTTCTTGTCTTTTCCCATGCACAAGTGTTAATCTCTTGTTTCCATTTGTAAACAGTGCCTAGTATAGTATCCTATAAAATAAAAGGGTAATATGCAAATTGATCCTAATGACGGAACAACTGGGAATGACCGGTCGCTATGATGCGCACTGACCACCAGGGGGCAAACGCTCAATGCAGGAGGGAGCTCTGCTCAGCCACAAGCTAGGCTGATGGCTACAAGTGCAGCGGTGGTGGCAAGAGCCCTCTCCTGAGGGCTCCTGCGCTGTCAGAGGGATGTCTGACTGCCAGCTTAGGCCCGATCCCTTGGGGAGCAGGCCTAAGCTGCAGGTGGACATCTCCCGAGGGGTCCTGGACTGCGAAAGGGCGCAGGCCAGATTGAGGGATTCCCCCCCCCCCCCGCCCGAGTGCAGGAATTTTTGTGCACTGGGTCTCTAGTTTTGTAAGAAAATGCTAAAATATTTGTTGAATGAATTTAAAAATACCTTGTAGATAATATCACTGAGAATTTTCACTATAGAATGTTAAATTTGAAAGGCACTACAGATATTTTCTAGTGTCTAGTTCCCCTATTTTATGATGACACTTAAGAGATTCAGCATGATTTGCTCGAAATTATAGATATGGCTGTTGTCAGGGTCACTAATAGAATTCAGACGTCTGACTCCTAGCACAGTACTCTTCACCATGGTGTTCTCTACCATTTGTTCAAAAGGCTTCAGGAGATTTTCTGACCACAGAGAGGCTCAGAAATACTTTCCTATTCTGTCACCCCAGATTTAACATGTCAAGAGTTCCAAATTTCTTTCCCTTCCTCTCCTTAAATCAGCCTGTCACTTTAACTTCCTTGTCTCTCACAATATTACCAAGGTCCTACTGACTCAGGCTTCAAACTTTAGAGTCTACTTTTATCTTATGTAGCCATTACTCTCTCCCATTGCATGCACTGTAATCTGGATGCCAGGAATACTTAGCAGCAGCCCCTTATCAGCACTCCTGGACTCTGATCTCCCTCCTCCACAATTCATTTTGCATACTAGACCAATATCCCAGGAGTACACCTTACTTTCTCTCCACAGACTCTAAATAGACTTTATTTCAAATCTTGTCAGGTATAAATTCCTTTAAATTGACTTGGTTAATGTGATCAGGCTGAACTCTAAAGCATGGCATACAAGGCCTCCCTCTACCCGCCTGGTTCTAAAAATTTTATTGTCTAAAATTTCAAACATATGCAAGTCTAGGGACTGAGGAAATCCCATGGATCTATACTTGGCTTGAAAGGTTATCAACACATACCTATGTTGTTTCATTTATATATGCACTGCCCCCTCTAGCTTATTTTGAAGCAAATCCCAGTCATCATTCCATTTCATCTGTAAATACAACAGTATATATCTCTAAAATATAAGGACCCTTTTAATATAATAAAATATCACATCTAAATATTGTTAGTTCTTAATATTATGAAATATTTAATTAGCATTCAAATATCCCCAGTTGTTTCATATATACGTGTGTGTATGTGTTTGTCTGTCTATATATATATATATATATATATATATATTGCAGTTGGTTCAAATTAGAATCCAGGCAAAGTCCACACATTATATTTGGTTGATAATCTCTTAAATTTCTCTTAATATATAACTTCTCTCCCTCTTTTTGCTCTTGCTCTGTCTTTTTTACTACCATTTATTTGTTGAAGAAATTGTGTAGTTTGTCTTGTAGAGTGTCCTACCTATATTCTGGCATTTTTCTGATTGTACTGCCTGGTATTGTTTACTATGTCTTATATCTCCTCTTTTCTTGTAAATAAGTAGTTAGATGTAATCTTAATCAGTTGGACATTTGAGTTTTGGGCAAGAATATTACATAGGTATTTAGTATGCATCCTATTGCATCTCATCAGGAGGCAGAAAATGTCTGGTTGTCCGTTTTTTGTTAAGATTGATCATAGAGTTCAGATGTTGTCAGACAGATCCATCTATTGTAAAGTTCCCTATCAGCTTTACCACTAATAGTTTTAGCAGTTGTCCTAGATCCATTATTCATCAGAGGTTACAAAATAGTGCTCTTCTAATTCTACCATTGTTCTTTATTTATTTGCTGAAATTCTATGAAGAATGACTTTTCTTTCAACTGTTTCATTGCAATGAGGTTTAGCTTGTACAGGGAAGGGAGGATAATTTTAATAATATTCAGAATAATGAATTGGTTCCCTAGCATCTTCCAGAGGTTACCAATGAGTCCTCTTTTTTTCTATCTATGAACCCATGGTTTTAAATATATTTGATGTGTTTAAATCCATTGTGGTTATTATCCTTATTGATGTCTAAATTGTCCCATCTTTTGCAATTAGTAGTTTCTTCAAGTTAACTCCTGATTCTTTTTATTCATTTTTAAGTAAAACAGAAGGCATATATCTCTTCTCAAAACATACTACACCAGGTAATAGATCAAGCATGGAGTGGTGCCTTATTGGCGTCAAGGACATAGGCTCTCCTGTCTTGTTGCTCTGCTGTATTCTCCTTTACATGGTTGAAGATGGCTCAGTACTACTTTACATTCCTTAAGGAAAAGAGATAGAAGGAAATGTACGTGCCCTTCCATTTGCAGCACTTTAAAGATATAATTACGCTGTCTTCCAGTTTCCATTGTTTCTGTTGAGAAGTCAGCTATAAGTCTTATTGTTCCTTTGGAGGTGATGTCTTTTTTCTTTCTAGCCACATTAGAATGTTTTCCTCATTTTTTTTTACGCTGGTGTATATGCTTTTCTTCTTATTCATTAGCATGGGGTTCTCAGAGCCCATGGAATCTGTGGGCCATTGAATCTTGTTTGTATAAGCTTGGGGAAATTCTTAGTGTGTGGACAGAGCTGACTCCATCTTGAAGTGAATCCACCTGCTTAGTTTCTGAGTGAATGATTCCGGACCTTTGACCTCTCTTCCCCTTCTCCTGGGTGGACTCTGGAATGTGTCCAGCGGTTTCCATCTAGTCACAGAGCTTCCATTACTTCTTCCTCTGCAGCAAGAAGCTCCAGAAGTTACCTCTCTTAGTTCCCTCCAGTACCAGGGTCTGCTGGTATCTGGCTTCTTTGTCCCCCCCTGGCCACCCATGCAGTCCTTTTGGAGCATGTAGGTCTGTCTCTGAGTGGGGATGAAAGATGGTGGTCTTGGAGGGGAAAGATGGGGATTTGACTGTTTTGCAGCCAGTCAAGACAAGTGTTTCCTGTAAATTCTCTATTAAACCTATTAACCCATAAACTGGACTTTTCCGTCTCGTTCTTCGGTCTCTGCCCTTTAGGGCCGCTTTGCCTATACGGTCTTTTTATGGAACAGTTAGCCGTTATCTTTTTAAAAATAAACTTCTTATTTAGGATTGTTTTAGATTTGTAGAAAAGTTGGAGAAATAGTACAGATACTCCACATCTGGTTTCCTCTATCATTAACATCCTACATTAGTATAGTAGAATGTTAATGATACATCTGTCACAACTAATGAACCAATATTGATGCATTATTATTAACTAGAGTTCATACTTAATTCTTTAGTTTTTACCTACTGTCCTTTTTCTGTTCTAGAATCTTATCTAGGATATCACATTTCATGTCTCTTTAGGCTCCTCTTGGCTATGACAGTTACTCAGACTCTCCTTGGTTTTGATGACCTTGGCAGTTTTGAGAAGTCCTGGTTAGGTATAATGTAGAAATTCCCTCAATTGGGATTTGTCCGCTTGTGATTATCTAGGCTAATAGGTTCTTGGGAGGAAGATCACAGAGGTAAAGTGCTTTTTTCTTCGTAACATATCATATCAGGGTACATATTATCAACATGACATATTACCATTAATGTTAACCTTGCTCTGTGCCTCAGGTAATGTTTGTCAGGTTTTCCCGTGTAAAGTTACTTTTTC